TAATAAAGCCAATACATATCCAGGATACACCTTCAAAACCTCGCAGAAAGTCAAACGTGCTGGATTCGTTTTAGCATATTTTCCTAATGATAAGTACATAATCACCGAGACTTTGGCCTGAAACTACGGCTGCAGATGTGCTCGGAATTACAACAAGCGCATAAAGCGGTACTTAAAAATGCCAGTGTGAGGAGAGGTAGTCGGCAGTTCATGGGTCTGATGTTCTCTGTAGCGTGTATTGGAAGCTAGCAAATTCACAGGTTTGTTAGGGCGGCTTACCTTTTTTTATTTCATAACCGCGGATATAAAGTAATGAACACTGTCATAACTTCTGCCCTTACCTCTCTTTCTAAACCACGAACATAAGATGAAGAGTTGTTCTTGAGATGTAAAGAAAGTTTTCGATGACTTTGCACGCCTTTAACTTTAATAATAATGAATTTTATTGATAGACGTTAGAACTTTTGGCGAAAAATTTCTCATCAGTCCTTCTAGTGCTACTTTCTAGGCGAATAATTTTCACTTCGTTGAATGATTTAATTTCAGGATGCGGATGGATGGACACAAGTGTACGGGGTTGTCATTGCTTTTTCAGTTTTTTGGAACCGTAATTCTACACCAGATAGATGTGCGTCTGTGGTGAGTGAAGACTTAGTCGGTCGCGGGCCGCTGAGTCATCTCCAGTGCTATCAGAATGAAACCTGACAGAGGGTTTAGAATCTGAGAACGCAATGAGGTCGGAAGAGAGGTTCCACCGACTCCGCATCCCCGTTAGCACCTGTTGGGCGCTTTCATTATCCCTTTTGGAGTAGAAGGATGTTCTGTGTGGAAATCCGTCAGCTGGTAGTCATGGTCTTTTCCTTCGAACACAGGGGCTTCATCGACACGGATTAGTGGCCATGTTTAGTCTTGAACGACTTGACCACGGACATACCTACTTCTGCTAAATTTCTTTGAAGAACACACAACAGCTCACATGTCTATGCAAACAATATACAGCAAACGTTAAGTTGAGCTTCAACAAGGCTGTATAGTCCAACCGTCTCTGCATTACGTTTTACAGCAGGGAATTTGCGTGTATTCACCGTCTTGAAGCGGCGACTACTTTCCTAAATATGATAAGTACACAAAATATACTACTCATGCTACTAAAACGCCAAAATGCTCTTGTTATGAATTGTAGGGTGCGACTTTTAGAAACCTTAAAAAGTATCTGATAGAGGCTCACCTTTCGAATTTATCGGAGCTATTACTGTTTGTGCATAATATTAAACAACTAGCTGTCAGAAAATCGTTAAATCAACGAAGGTCACGAACTTTCGGTAGGAAAAGTTGCGACCCGCACATCTTCAGGGCAGTTCATTGACGCATTTTGGTCTCCGTTCCCATGCAAACGCAGCGTTTTTAGCTCGGTGCTACGAACCGAACTGAGGATGAGTGTTTAATCAAACTGGATGGTTAAAGGTCAACAGAACTATTGGTTTTATGGTTTTATTGTTATTGGTTATTTTGGTTTTGGTTTACTGGTTTTTTTTTCTGCGGTCGGTCAGCCGTACCACAAACCCGGACTAGAAGGACTCGAAGTTTGGAATTTAGCTCACGTTGATAATTGATTCAGGGTCAATTCTTGGCAGCTGCGTCCTGCAATATTCACATTCATATGGGGGCCTTAGAATCGGCGAACGCCATGTCGGTGTAAGTTGTTGGTATCGCCTATGGCGCTGGTATCTCACTCGTAACGCCTCGGCAATTGCGTATCCATTCAACGGTGGGCATGTAAAGATCTACTCCACCAGTCTAATTCTGCATGGCATGTATGTGTGGGATACGATGTGATCCGGCCAGATAATGGACGATGAAACGTATCCCAATATTTATAAGCTAGTTAATATGATAAGGCGTGAAAGGCCAGAGTGTTATGAAT